CAGATATATATAAGACATATTTATATACAATAAATTCCTCTAAGCTATTTAAACAAATATTGAAAAAATTCATAATAAATAGTGACAGAAAAGCTATGAGAGCGCTGATCGATTAGCAAAAAAAAAAGAAAAATTTAACTGTGATAAAATGTGTTATTAGATCTTGGTGTTTGTACTGTAAAATATACTTCCTTTTAATCCACTATAGTTTATAAATTACTTTTATTGGTTTTTTTTTTGTTCACTTATTCTAATTATTAAAATATATTCAATTTATTGTTTTTATTATTATTATTATTAATATTATTAAAATTATTTTTATTATTATTATTATAATTATTATTATGATTATTATTATTATATAAGTCTATAACTGAGTTATTATATTGTATGTTTCTAGTTATTTTAATATCCGTTTTATATTTTATATTTTTTTTTTAAATGTATTTTAGAATCAAATAAGCACACAATATTAAGTTAACATTAGGTAATGATTTGGCAGCCCATGCGCAACCAATTGGTCATAAATGGGCGACCAGTTTACATATTATTTGAACTTTTTAATGTATTTTATTATTGTATATGGATACTGAATGCTAAATAAATTTATTATTATTATTATTATTATTATTATTATTATTATACAACATTTAGTTAGTTTTGGACAGTTGCTTTCTTCATGTTCCTCCTTACAATTTGGGCAAGCTAGTTTATTGCAGCAATCATTCATTATGTGGTAGAAACCTTGTCATTTAAAACATCTCGGCACATCTAGATCTTCATAGACTGGAAGTTGCTCCCATGCAATACAGAGTTTCTTTATCATCATAATCTGTTGGAAGGCTGTTGCGGAACAAACACAATAAATTATACTATAACCCTTTTTTGTTTTTCTAATATATGTTGTTTTAATATTATCTTGTATGTCATTTTGTTCAATGATACTTTTGTTTATTTCGTCGGCAGACATATTCTGTGTGAAGTTCACAATTTTAATCCTGGGTTGTCTCATTTTTGTCAATTCGACTTCATAATTGATATCCAATTTTTGTTTGACAGCTTTCTCCAAAGTATCAATGTCCTTTTTTGTTTGACATGAAATAATTACGGACCCATCTTTTGCTTCTTTTACTTGTTTCACTGCCACCTTCAGTTCGGTAGGGTTTATATTTTTGTTTTAAGTCAAATTTTGTTCTTGTACTATTTTGTTTTACTTTAGGTTTGATAACAATATTTGAGTAGTTATTTCTTCTTTCATTATTGGCTTCCCCGTTCGTTTTTACTGCTCCACATAAGATTTCTGTTGAAATTGATTTTCATTATTTTTTTCCATTTCTTTTATCTTTAAGCATCATAATAATTTCATTTTTATCGTTAATTATTTGATCTTTATCTTCAATTGTATTCCTAAGGAGATCAACATATTCGTAGTTTCTGCATTTTGTGTATTTGAATGTCAATATTCGCGTTTTTAGAGGCAAACACTTTATTTCTGATGCTGAACATCCAGAACAACTACTGCAAATTAATTTTTTACAAGAGTCGCAAGGCGTGCACGGATATCGTAATTCCTTAGTCGATGTAAACGTTTATTTACATTCTAAACACTCCATTTTGAATCTTTTTCTTCATATTAATATTTTTATTGGAACGCCACTTGTATCAGTTTGTTATACTACTTTTTGCTTCTGTTTTGAAGATAATCCGTTTTTAGTTATTTTTATTAGTAGAAATCACTTGCATAAATGCATCAAAAACTTGGGAAATATGAAGTATGTTTCGATGAGAGTTTCACTACTAAATTCACTTATTTTTATTGTACAAATATCTGTTTTGTATTTATACTGTATGACTTAGATACTTGCCGCTTCTCCCAAAACACACCGGTGTTTAACCTGCGCAAATGTTGCCAATTTCTAAAGAAATGTTAACGGAGCGGGGGAACTGGGCAGAGACCCGAACTCTGTGACAGGGACCGGACTTTGTTTATTAGCATCATAATGAACTATTAGATTTATTTAAAATATACGTCTAACGAAATTTTGTATTATGAAATAAAATTAACGTGATTTTTTAATATTTTAATATCAAACAGATGCCACGACAATTTATGTAAAGAGAAGACCTTTTATAGAATATTTCGTTAGTGTTTATTTACTACGGACTTTTCAGCAAGAGACTACAGTAAAATGTTGAAATAAAATATTTTTAATAGAGCAAGAAATGGTACTCATTTTCTACGAGTATTAAAATGGTACTCATTGTCTACGAGTATTATAAAAAAAGCATACGCGCAGGCGAATACTGCAAATTAAACCTTGTGAGTTGAATATTATATTTTTTCTACGGCTATTACATAATATTAAACATTAGTCAAAATGAGAAAATGCTGTTTTATATTGTAACCTCAGCTTCTTTCTTTTGGAATATTAATTAATATAGAGGATGAGTCACATAAAACTGTAAAAATGCATATGTCTGAAACTAGATAACATTTTAAAATTATTAAAACCTATTAAAAGTTATTTGGTCGCTAGGGGTGGGTGATTATCGAAATAAATTATCGATCATTGAAAATAATCGATTATTTTCAAAATATATTTTTGGGTCGTATTTCCTTTAAAATCGACTACTTGATTATCTTTGAAAAATCAAAAATAATCGATTAATTAAAAAGCCAATCAACCGATAAATCAGTGTTTACAAAAAATAATAAAAGAATTATCGTTTATTTTAAATAATCGATTACTTTCAAATAATCCATTTTTTTCGTCCATTGAAATAGATTATTCGATAATCTTTGAAAAATCGAAAATAATCGATTAATCAAAAATAATCGATTAATTAAAAAGTCGATTAACTGATAAATCGATTTAAAAAAAAATATTTTAAATAATTTATGTTTATTGTATTTCCTTTAAAATCGATAATTCGATTATCTTTGAAATACCGAAAATAATAGATTATTCCAAAATAATCGCTAGATCGAAAATAACCAATTAATTAAGAAGCCGATTCTACGATAAATCTATTTTCCAAAAAAAATAACTGAATTATCGGATTATTTTCTAATAATCCCTTTCATATTTCCTTTAAAATTGATTACTCTATTATCTTTGAGAAATCGAAAATAATCGATAAATCGAAAATAATCGATTATTAAAAAGCTGATTAACCGATAAATCGATAATTCTAAAAAATAACCGAAATATCGGTTATAAATAATAACCGATTATATTCGATCAATCGATTATTTTCATATAATACCTTTGAAAAATCGAAAATAACCGATTAATCGAAAATAATTGATTAATTAAAAAATCGATTAAACGATAAATCGATTTTTCAAAAAAAAATCGATTATTTTTAATAAATCTACGTTCTTTTGTATTTCCTTTAAAATCGATTATTACATCATCTTTGAAAAACAAAAATAATTTATTAAAAATAACGGATAAATCGATTTTCATAAAAAAATAAATAAATTTTTGTAATCCCTATCGGTCGCTTGCTTTTATCCGAGCGTTTAGCTCCAAAATTTAGGGATTCGGATTTTTTGATCCCGTTATCTTTGAAACCGCATTCGATTGTATAATAAATAAAAAATATTGCTAGAATTTGATTTTTTTAGTAAACGAAAATTTTGTTTGAGTTGTTTAGGGGTTTATAATGTAACATTTTATTAACAATGTGACTAACTCCCGTAACTTTAGTATTTTTTGCTTATCCTAGATCATATTGTGAGTTTTACTTTGTTTTAAGACTGAAGATTCAAATGTCACTTTCGATTTGACCGCAAATAAGATGAACCTTGAAATTTTAAGTAGGTCATCCTGTATTTCATCTAATATTATAAAAATACCTTATAAAAATAAAATTTAGCTAGCAACTATGCTTGTTTACTTCTTATTTATCTACCAAAAAGGGCTAAAAACCAACTTTAGTAAATATTCTTGTAAAACTACTTTTTAAAAACAAAATTTCGTTAGCAACAATGCTTATTTACTTCTTATTTAAATTAAATGTTCAAAATTTTACTCTTTTGTAAATTTATGTAATATGAAATCTGTTTTCTGAAATATGTACTTGATGCTTATTATTTATTAAAACCCCTTAATGCGGATCTGAAGTATTCAGCCCAAAGGAGCATGGCGCTTTATGTCAAAACGTTAATAAATATTTACCGCTGAAGACGAATATATATTTATTATTTTTATAACATTGGTACTTGTACATCGTGGCATTTTGAACTTGAAATTGAATAACTAGAACATTTTAAATTGCTAAAACACTAACAAATAAATCAAAAAACAGCTGTCAATAGTGATTGAACTCAAGCGTAGGTTAGCGTTGAATGGAAAAATCGGGTGGCGTCGTGTAAACAATGAATTTCGATTGGTGGGTTACTTGGGGTTAAAATAGACAATATGCGCAGTGTGCAATGTTACATCTTCGGTCTCTTTAATCAAAGAGAGATTATAAACTCAGATAAATTAATTAGACCTAGGCTAGACTTGAGCTGGTACGTGTCTGTCAAATAATATACTTACCTATGTTAAGTTACTCAGGTGTAATTCCTTTATTACTACAACCCAGGACTATATAATATGACATTATTAAAATATCAAACAATGTAATAAACACACTAAAAATTGTTTTTAAATGAATAAAATTAACATTTATTTTCAAATCACTTTCACGAATGGCAATTGACATGTCTAACAAATACTCAGCGCGAACCCAAACCTCAGTTTTGAATCGCCTTATCGGAACGTAAATTTTGAGAGAGAATTGAGATCAAATCCATTCTCATAATTTCAGTTCTGTGCAACTACAGTCAATTTCACGAACTTTATAAAAAGAAGAGCAGAAATTTGACCATTGCCGATTCGCCACATTCTCTCTAGTCTTCATATTCGTTTGTCACCGTATGATTAGATTACTGTCATAATAAATTAAGCACACCAAATACTTATAACGTTAGTGGCCTTAAATTTCAGGTGGTTTGATATTAAAAAAACCCGGCAGGGTGGGCCAAGCAGCTATATTCGCTAGCGGTAGTTGGGCGGACAGTGTCGACAAGAATAAAGAATCCTCGGTGGCTGTTTGCACTACGGGTTGCGGCGAACATCTAATTCAAACTCAACTTGCCAAAGAAATTGCTGTAGCTCTCAAATATAGTACCTGTTCAACTGTCGACTTACATTCAACGATGAGTGAAAAATTTTTGGAATCGAAATTTCTGAAAAACGTTCAAGTCAAAATGGGAGGAGCTTTGGTACTCCACAGGGACAGCCTCACGGGGGACGTTGTCGTTTTGTGGGGCCACAGTACTGAAACTATGGTTGTTGGGTATATGGGAACGGAGGATAGAAAACCGAAGGTAAACGTTAAAGAACATAAATATTTTTCTCCACGACCATTACTGAATATAATTCTTCGGAAATCAATTTTAATAACAGAATGTGAACATTCTTGCTCTTGAGATTGGAAAAATATTCTGAAACACTTGCATACTGTTTATTTTGCATACATTTTTATTCTATAACAAGTATTAGAATGACATTCTAATACCGGCTGGTAGGTAACCGTGGATACAGAGATGTAAAGAAGGTGGCCTGTTTTTCAGATGTTTCCGAGCCATTTATATTAATTAGAGCAGCAAAGGTGTATTTTTTTGAGATGAGTTTTATTTTACATATACTTTCCTAGTAAAAATGCGTGAACAGTGAAATGAAACAGATATGGAATTTGATAAATTAAAAATTATGCAAATAATAATAATATAATAATAATAATAATACTCTCCCTAATTCACCCCCTTACGAGTGAATTTTAACCCCATAAGCTGAGCTTGTGCGGGGAAAGGGACGGATATTATTATTATTTTCCGTGGCGTTCCGGGGCGACTTAAAGATGATTGATGGTGCCATTTGACTTTTTTTTACGTAAACTATCCTACTTTATTTTACTTCACTATTTTTTAATCATTTTGATTATTTTTTTATTTGTACACTTTATTTGTAAGTCCCAAAAAACTAGAATATTTTTATAAAATGTGAATCGCTGTTACTCATTACATCCCCTTGTATCGACGCCACGCCATTGCTATACACGTATTAATTTCACACTTTGTGGTCGTGGAGAAAATACAGTATCTTACTCTGTTGGAATGAAAATCCGATATCGTCGTTTTCCACCCTTATCGAATTTTCATTCCAACCATGTTACAGAAAATGCTATTAGGTGTTAATTTATTGGTTTCATATTATAATAAATTTCTGATTTTAGTGCCAAATGTCCGTACTACCACAAACCGTCAAACCTGGAACAGCTGTAAATGTTGGCGGATCAAAATTTTATACCATTGACAATCCCTCTTCGATTACTTGAATACATAAATTTCGTTTAAATATTTTGGTTATCGGTTTGGATATGTGTGATATGCGATTATTTATTTCTTGACTGTTATATTCAAGTTGGTTTATTTCTTTTATTTTCTTGGATTATAAAATAAAATATACCTTAAAATAATTGGTTTCGCTATTGTTTTGTTTTATAGAACCCATCTCGTATATTTTGAAAGTGTTTAATATTAATGTGGTACGAAAATACCCACCTTTATATTTGTCGCTTATAAGCAGATAGGGTTAGGTTTGGTCCAGAACACTGCGGCCTCTTGGGTCTATTGTATTCCCCTGCTTTCCCCGTATTCAGGTACTATCTTTGGAATAGTCCTGTGTCTTTGATTAGTTTTAATAAGTTCCCTACCAAGTGTTCCTGGGGCGTTCTTTACACAATTGGTAAATATAAATTTATAAATCTCTACTTGGGTGGGTTCAATTTTTCCTTTGGTTGAAGAATACTGATGTGTAGGAACCGCTCATCGCATGTAAGAAGAGAATGTTTACACCAATCGTTGAACTTATAGGAGAAAATACTGCTGGAAAAACATTACCCTTCCTAGGTTTAAAAAAAAATTTTAATTTGTAGGTTACCAAGAGGTCTACGTCCTTCCCAACTACAACCACCATCTCATTTAATGGAGGCAAGAACAAAGCAATGTTCAGAATCAGAATGTCTGGGAGATTCTTATTTGCTTTTTCGGAATAAGGTTAGGTTGAAAATGAGAGGGATGATCTCATCGTCTTCCACTGCGACCCAGATGGATCTATTGTGACTCATATCTAACTGATAGTTCACCGTACAAGCTAAACGCCTTCAAATGAGTTAGCCCTGTGCTATCTCTCGAGTTCGTGAGTGTTACCCACTCCGTACATCTTAAGATAATTTCTTTGGTAGTGGTCCTAAAAACTCAGATTCGCTTCCTTTTTTTTAACGAGCTTTTCGGTTTTTTAATTGCCTTCCACACCGCTGTGTCCTGGAACCTAGATAACTGTTCTCGCTCCCAATTCTATAGCAATAATTTCTACTTTGAAAATCGTGGCTAGAGAGCCCAGGTTTATTGATATCAAATCTTGGCTTCTGGCCGAAAACTCCCGCTTTACCTTCTTCAGTTTTGGAGCCGTTTATATAAAGCGCATAGTTTGCTTAAGAAATGGTATTATCCCTCTGCTCCTCTCTCCTCTTTGTACTTCCCCCTAATTATGATAACTAAATCATCATCATCATCATAGTATTCCACTATTTGCCGAGAGAGATCGTCTAGCAGGCTACCCACCAGAATGGTCCACAGTAGAGGGTGAAAGTACGCCGCCTTGTGGACATCCTTTGACAGGCCTGAAAATTGCTCTCCGTGCAGTGATGAAATGGTGTTCCGGTTTCCAAAAATTCCAAGTCAGTTTTCAATAGAAGTGATCAGAGATTGAGGAAGGGCGTTATTGAACGCGTCCTCTATATATAGGAAGGCACCCATTGCAATATCTCCGTGTTTTAGGGAATAGCCGATTTTGCCTACTAAATTGTACAGGACATCATCTGTCGTATTGCCTGCTTATTGGGCATATTGGGAGGAGTTTAACAGGCCCAAAGGCTTGCCTATTTAGAATTATCTCTAGTGTCTTTAAAAGAAAGGATGTTACCAATAATAATAGGTATTTGCATAGCTGGGGAGGATTCGAATCACCTGGGATTTGAATCCTTTTTGAGGATCCGTGATCCGGATTCGCCGAGGAAATTCTTAAGGATTCGTATTCGAATCACCAATATTAGTCTCGGATCCTTTTGGAGACCAAACTACTCCGGCGCGAACGGTCGACCTTTGACTTGTCGCGAAGTTTAAACTGAAACGGACTGAGACTGAAGACCGATTGTTAATATTTAGAAGGTAAACGTAAGAAACTACAAATTAATGTCAAAGAAGGCAGCAGAGCATCTAGACAATGTTGAGTTAAAACCTATGCCATATTTTTTAGGCTATTTTTATACCCTATTCAAAAATTTTATGCTCCTCGTTTTTTACAAAAATCAAGGTTCTCTACTAGCTTCGAACGAAGTCAGCAGAGCAACTCGGTTTTTTAAAGCTTTTTTTCTAAAAACAACCACGCCGCATTTTTAGGCTCTTGAAATATTTTAAAACTTTACTAAAAATTGCTATTTATAAATAATACAGGGTGCTTTGCTGGAACAAAGTTAGCAGAGCACCTCGGTTTTTTTTTTCTCGAAACTCTACTTATGTCACATGTTTAAGCTATTTTTAGGTTCTTAAAATATTATCAAACTTTTCGAAAAAAAAAGGTGTTTTTAGAGACCAAACCTAGACTGGATATAAAATATATTCGTTCAGTTGAACGCAATAGCATACTTTTTCGTTTTGTAGTCTGTACGTAGATAAGCTAATATTAATGAGGGTGTAGAAAATTAGTAGTTTGTGCAACAAGAGTGGATGGAAAATCAACTCTAGTTGTACAGTATATTTTTTCTACGAAAATCGAAAAATTCAAATCGAAAAATTGCAAAAATCGAAAAATCAAAAAAACGAAAAAAAGAAAAATCAAAAACCGAAAAATCAAAAATCGAAAAATCAAAAATCGAAAAATCAAAAATCGAAAAATCCAAATCGAAAAACCGAAAAATAGGCAATGAATAGTGACATTTCACATTTGACATTACGTTTAACAAGAAAAAATGAAATTTGTAAATTGTGTTTTATTTTTTAAATAATTGAACGGCCTTATTGAAAACGGCCCAGAAATGTTGAGAGTAAAATTTTGACGTACTCATTTAAGAATAACGGATAAAAACAGATGCTTGTCGGGCTAATGAGATGTATTTCATGAAAATTAGTGATATACAAGACCTTGGATTAAATTTTTTAGTAAGCGTCAGACGATAAAAGTCTATTGATTAAGGTTTTTCTTCATATATTACAATAAGGTATTTATTTTTTAAAGTCTTTAATAATTATGGAAGCTTGTCCGGTTAATGAGATGCATTGCATGAAAATTAGTGATTTACAAGACCGATTAGCTTTTTTAGTAAATTTTGTAACGGTTGGAACTAGTGTTGTGAATATCCGTATCTTTTTAGTATTCGGATAATACGTATTCGGAACCAAGAGATATTCGGATTCATCATCCGGATACGTATCCATATTCCGTGTGTGAAATCATAATAATACGCAACCGTAAATACACCGCGACCTTGGTAATCGGAACCGGGCTGTGTTGTCAACCCTAGCAGAATTTATGTTTGAGAGTGAAGTAATAGGAGCTTTTAATGTTTTAGAATAATAAAAACAAGACAAATCTCAAATATTTTGTTTTTTATCATAATATCAGAAACAAAATTTCTCATTAACTGAATATTATTTATATAACTTCATGTTACCTTTAAAATATGCAGTGCATACCGACTAACCGATTATGAATTGCAACAACGCTAGACGATTTCGTATCGGCTGCCACCCGCAAAACCCGCAATCGGCTCTGTCATAACACAGAACATGCAGCATTCGATTCGTGTATTATGATTTTGTTTGTTCTTTTTGATGCCGAATTCGTATTCGAATTTACACTATTGATTCCGGAATATCCGGATCCTTTTAATATTCGGATTCAACGGATTTTCGGATACGTATTCTTACATCACTAGTTGAAACCGTTATTTCGACACAATCATCTCTTAATGTCATTTGTCCTTTTCTTCTTCCTTGATTCGTCTTGTGAGAATTATTTTTGACTTGGATGTCAACGAATCAACTTGATTTGAATTTTAATATATCTTGGTCATCCGATGTACTAAATGATTTTAATCTATCAAAATCCGTCTGATTTTATAAGGTAAGTTTTAATACTAATATATTGTTAAATATATATTTTATACAAGGATTTCTTAAATAAATTGTCAAGTTCCGAACATAACCTCAATACCTATCAACAATGAGTAACACATATGGTTAATTTATATATTATTTGTTTGGAATAATATATGCTTTACTATGTTTAAATGTATTAATTAAGATTTTTCCTTTTCATACTAATTTTAGTCTCTGTGAAATTATTAATTTAATAGTTAAAGCATTTTATCTAAATCCTGTTCGAATTTCCTATTTTTAAAAATACAACTATCACGTAAATTTTGGTATATATAGAAAGACGAGACAGAAAGAAAAGGCTCTCGAGTGCGGACTAAGGTCCAGAACTTTCGCCGAGGGCGAGAGCTCTCGTTTTATGGGACTCTTAAGTCCCAGAACAAAGTAATTTGTCGAGTAAAATTTTTTACAGCGATTTGTGAGTTGTGGGTAAATATCTTTAACTTATTTTTAAAGTGTTTTGTTTGATAATAATTAATTGATTTACATATAAATGTCAATTTTACATTGTCCCGATTATCATATTTATCTTATACATATTTTTTTATATTATTATACAGGGAGTCGGGAAGAGCGCACCAAACTCTAGGAGTATATTATTCACGTGAAAATAATGTAAAAAAACTCATATGTTCTTATCCGATTTTCATTTGTTTTCAAGTTATGGCGTAATTAAAAATGTTCATCTAGCTTTCCACTTCTGAATTTTAACATTATCAAAGTATGCCATATGTTCATGGCTCAAAGGCATTTGATAATTCTGACGTTTTGATGAACTGTCAGTGTAAAGAAGAAAGAAATGAATCAATTAGGGGAGCAACCAACGCTCTGTAGACGAAGCAGAAAATGTTTAGAAGTCAATGGCGGTATTTTTGAACATTTATTGAAAGAACGCTATGATTAAGAGAATTTTTATATGTAAATTTGTTTATTTGTTAATATGCTATAACTTGAAAACAAATGAAAATCGGATAAGAACATATGAGTTTTTTTACATTATTTTCACGTGTATAATATACTAGAGTTTGGTGCGCTCCTCCCGACTCACCCTGTATAGTTAAAGTTTTCCAGTGCTATTTATAATTGTTAATAAGCCCGAACTGTATAGTTCAATTAAGTGTTCATCTAGTGTCATAAATCTTTATACAAAGTTTGGATATATTATCAAATATTTTCTTGTAATAATTTAAGTTATTCTTTAGAATAATGGTCACTTTTGTACTAATTTTAAATATACATTTGTTAATTTTTTAATACTTATTATTAATCTCTCCTCCCTTTTTCCAAAACCAGTAAAATATTCCGAGCATTTGAGAAGCCTCGGCGTTTCTATTCCCTTAGAACTAAAAGAGTCTAAAACTAGTTGCCAAGAACCGCTCGACTATGCTATTAAGGGATAATTTTTGTTCTTTTTTCTACGCCCATGTCAGTAAACGTTAAAAATCGCACTGTCAACATTCCTTGTAAATGACATTTAACAATAACATGCACGTAATGAGATACCATAACATACACATGCGTTTTGATAAGAAAACTTAAATTTCTTAGTTTAATCAAATTACAATCAAATTTTTATCTACATAAGACTTTATTTGGTTTATTTACATAAATTTAGTCAATTTAAAAACTTTTAGCATTAGCGAGGTACATTTTGGATTAAAAAAGTGATGCCCCTAAATGTCGGCAACACATTATACAATTTTAAAAAACTTAGTCGCGTTTTCTATGGAAATAAACATCGTTCCGTTTATATTGTCAATTTTTGTAACGTAATATTATTGTATTCGAACATTTTCTCAACTTTACCCACGAATATGTCTATTAGTAGTGAAAGTGATGAAATTATGAGCACTCCACCGGAGATTTTAGAAAAAGTTCAAGATGCCACACAGAATTTGTTACCGCTAAAATCCAAAGAAAGGTACGAAATTACCTATTGAAAATTTATGGATTGGCGATACAAGCATAACGTTAAATCCTTTTCGGAGAATGTTTTAAGTGGGCGTAGAAAAAGTATAGTACGTTACACGAGTTGTAAGCCCGTTAAGCACTCGTAAACTTTTTAACTTCGTGCGTAATGGGTTACTTACAACTATTGTTACGTAATATACTAATAATTTAATTTTTTTATTATTTTTATTTGCTACTGGTGAATGGATGTTCTTTCTGGACTTCAGGACCCTTTGGCTGGTGACAGTGCTGCCTTAATCCCTTAATAGTATACTAACAACAGTAGCTAAAGACCTATCAGTAGTTACAAATGGTCTTTAGGCTAGTTGGTTGTTACATAAGGGTCTATACAGGGTGATTTTTTGTGAAGGATCCACCCTAGATAACTTCGTTCTCGTCTTGATTCAGGTAAAATCCAAAAACAGGTCAATTTTTATCCTTAAGGGGACACATTTTTAGATCACAACTGATTTTGTCGGATCAACCCCATGGCCCCACCAGCCCCCACCTTAAAAACCTTCAATAGCAAGGGGGGCCGAGTGACCCCTCGTTGGAAAGGTTTTTGCATTTACCATACGACCATGTAAGAATTATTTCGTTTTGTACAGGGTGGTTCAAGAAAAAAGACAAATTGCAATAAATAGACTTAAATTACATATATCATAATATATTCTTAAAATGGCCACCGTTGAGAATAATAGGAATCCTTCCTCATTCAACAATTTATCTCCTGTCGTAAATTCACTTAAATTTTTTGCTTCAGTTTTTGAAGACGGTTGGTGAGTGATATCGCGCTATCGCTCTTTTTGTATGCATTTTTATCTGCAATTTTTTGCGCATCTTTACAAGCCGTTTTGACGGATTAGATTTAATCCAAGTAGTTTGCAGTCAGTTGGTATGTCAATTGATTTATTCCCTGTAAAATGGTTTACACTATTGCCGAGCGGGTAGAAGTTATTTTCATTTATGGTGAGGAGCAGAATTGTGCCCGCGCCACTGCCAGAGTTTTTAATGCGTGACATCCAGATAAGCGAATGGAGCACAAATATGTCACGCAACTTGTGCGGAAGTTTCAAGCAACAGGATCGGTTAAAAATATGAAGAGAGAAGGTAACAGAATAGTTAATGAAATGACTCAGATTGAAGTGGTGGGGAACTTTACTTTCGATCCAACCAGTTCTTTGCGTCAGATTGCTACGACCACTGGACTTTCGTATTCATCGGTACGCAGTGACAAAACTTTTTAAATTCCATCCCTATAAAATGAAGATACTTCAGGAGCTTGTGGACGATGATCCTGATAGGAGATTACAGTTTTGCGAAATTATGACGGAAATGATAAAGGCAAACCCAAACCTCATAAAAAACATTTGCTTTAGTGACGAATGTAGTTTTTATCTGCATGGCGCAGTCAATAAACAGAATGTCCGATATTGAGAATCCTCACATTTTTAGAGAGGGGCATACTTAAGCTCCTCAGAAATTAAATGTATGGGCAGGAATACTAGGCGATGCGGTAGTCGGTCCGATTTTACAGGGAATAAACCAATTGACATACCAACTGACTGCAGACTACTTGGATTAAATCTAATCCGTCAAAACAGCTTGTAAAGATGCGCAAAAAATTGCAGATAAAAATGCATATAAAAAGAGTGATAGCGCGATATCACTCATCAACCGTCTGCAAAAACTGAAGCAAAAAATTTAAGTGAATTTACGACAGAAGATAAATTGTTGAATGAGGAAGGATTCCTATTATTCTCAACGGTGGCCATTTTAAGAATCTATTATGATGTATGTGATTTAATTCTATTTATTGCAATTTGTCTTTTTTCTTGAACCACCCTGTACAAAACGAAATAATTCTTACATGGTCGTATGGTAAATGCAAAAACCTTTCCAACGAGGGGTCACTCGGTCCCCTTGCTATTGAAGGTTTTTGAGGTTGGGGCTGGTGGGGCTGGTGGGGCCATGGGGTTGATCCGACAAAATCAGTTGTGATCTAAAAATGTGTCCCCCTAAGGATAAAAATTGATCTGTTTTTGGATTTTACCTGAATCAAGACGAGAACAAAGTTATCGAGGGTGGATCCTTTTCAAAAAAAAAAAAAAACCTCTCTAAACATTTGAATATCAATTTTTAATTTTTGTATTTGATTTATCTGCACAAGAAATTTATACAGCGATGCCTACTAATACATAAGGCGCATAATGCATATCGTGTCTGTATTTAGATCCAAGAATTTCTCGGATTTAAATTCCGAAATATGCGACTGTTTAACATATTCTAAAAGAAACTTCTTTCCAAAAAATAAAACGCATTAATAGCAAGTATTGTTTATTAACCTCAACAAATGAGGAAATAATAATAATCATATTAAAAATTAATGCGATCACTTTCTGAAAAATATATGAGCATTCAGGTGTCAACAACCCAATAACAAATCACGTCTTCTGCCGTTTATAATAGATGGAAAATAAATTCTAACAGTATTTCCGTTTAAAAGTTATCCCCAAACTCTGACAGTTTGGTCCCAGCTGCACGAAGCTACTGCTATGCCATTTTCAGCTACCGATATTGATGTGACTCTGTTGTCATGGCCAGATAGAGTTCCTAAAATCATAATGATAAATTAAACACACGATACAATAATTTGTTTTGGGTTTTGTAATGGAGGATTATATCCCAACAAATATTGAAAGTTGTAGCAAGGAGTTGGCCTGTTAATAATTGTGATGGCAAAGCAATTTACGGTAAAACCGTGATGGCCCTTTTCAAATTTTTAATTAACTGTCCTTTAACTTCATTTTTCGATTGACCGTTGCATGTGGAAAACAGTTAAGAAGCCATTAATTATTATATGGGTAATTTTTAACCAACGGTAAAATCGGTATGACCCTTTTTAAATTTGCAATTAACTGCATTTTAACTTTAATTACTCGATGAGCCGTATATTTATTTTTAATTGTTTTCTACATGCAACGGAAAATCGTTACGGCCATTTGGAAATTTGTAATCAACTGCTCTCCAACTTAAATTTTTCGATGGACCGTTGATGGCCTTTTAACTGTTTCCCACATTCAACGGTAAAATCGTTATGGCCCTTTTGAAATTTTGAATTGACTCCCTTTTAACTATTCAATGAGCCGTTGATGGTTTTTTAACTGTTTTTCACAAGCAACTGTAAAATCGTTATGGCCCTTTGGAAATGTGTAATTAACTGCATTTAAATTTTAATTTCTTGATGGGCTGTTTATGGCTTTTTAACTGCCTTTTTACCGCTTTTGATTCCTTTAATTTTAAATATTCGATGTGCTGTTTTGATGGTTTGTTAACTATTCGCCACATGCAAATTTATAGTTGTTATGGCCCTTTTTAAATTTGTAATGAACTGCCTTTTAACTTATTCGATAGGCCGTTCAGGTACAAACTAACTTGATTTCCGTTTATAAATATGGACCTAAATTAGGACGTGGAAAAGTACACTCTTGCCGAAGCCTTTAATTCTTCTTTTTAAGTACAAGTTTGGATTTAATTTAAAGCCGTGAGTAGTTATCAGAACATGGCCTTCTTTAGAAACATTTTTTGTGGATCACTCTTTATAATGACGAATAAAACTAATTACGATATTAAAAATGCTTACCATTGTGTTGATTTTTCAATGTATCCCACATATGTACGTTATTGTCGTCGGACCCGCAAAGTAGAATCCTTCCACTAATTGACAGAGCGCAAGAAGTGAAACCGCTATTGGGAGAAGGTGGTTTGTACAAAGCTATCTGCTGATCGCTCCTAATGTCGAACATTCTAGCAGATTTATCTTCTGAGCCTGTCGCGAAACAGTAACCGCTAGGATGGTACTAAAAATAATAAATACAATGATTTTTTTCTATGTTCTCAGTTCAAACATAGTTATTAACATTTTGTTACTAGTAAACGTTTTAAAAACATAAAAAACAAAAAACATTAAAAAACAAAACCATAAAAAAACAAAAAACAAACAAAAAATAAAAACATAAAAAACAGGAAACAAAAACAAAACAAGACATAAAAAACAAAACATAAGAATCAAATAATAAAGACATAAAAAACAAAAAAACAAAACAAGAATCAAATAACAAAAACATAAAAAACATTAAAAAAACAAAAAACAAAAAAAAACAAAGAAACAAAAACAAAACCATGTCGTCTATTAACCAGTTAGACATATTTTTGTTTTTATCGAATTAAAAAAAAGTATTTTTTTTGTTAGTGCCATAAGTTCCATATGAATTTATTTATATTTATCCTAATTCGTAGATATATTATTTTACTTTCCGGTTACATTAAAAAAAAATATGGTTTTATTCCATTAAAAAGTAAAATTTCCATCATTCAGATTCACTATGAGTACGATTAGCAATTGAATCACTGTTCTCATCCGAACCTACTACATTTATAATTAATTTAATAAACATTGGCAAATATTTTTCATATTCCTTTTCCTCCCCAATTACATGATCTATTACTTTTCCCTAACTTGCTGGTGATCGAAGACATGACTTGGACACCAACGGAGCTTGCCGTCTATTGATACTGTCCATTGTCCTCCAAGATAATTACTGAGGCCCTTCCTATGGGGCCTCTGTATTGCATTCGTGCAGACGAAAAAATTTTCTTGCCCCCATTTTTTAAAACTTTTTTTCATGTTTCGGATCATTCTGACTCCGAAAATGCAAAAAAAAAGTTTTCGTCTGGTCGTCGTATGAGGTTTGGCGACTGTTTACCATGCAGGTGGTAAAAGTTTTTTGGGTCGGAAAGTGTTATTTTGTTTTAGTACTTGGGAGTCTCTGATCCTGCTAGTGAGTGGCAGCTTCACCACCCAAAAGCTATTAACCCCACCAATATGTCGGCTTGACACTAATAGGATGATGTTTTGTTAGTTAAAAAATATTTTTTTTCTACACCCGTATTATAATAATGCACTTATATGCCCATAATCCGTTTCATAATGATACCCATTATGATACAGATTTTTCATTACGATACAGATTTTTAATCAATAGAAACCTACAATTTTTCAATCAAGCATGCTGTTTGACGTTTGTCCTAGGTTCCTATGTAATTATTTTAGTTGTCAAAACGTATTAAATTTTCGTAGGTAGCTAAACTTCGATAATTATAATATTAAAATGTCTGATATTAGCGATATAGAAGACTCCTCCACACATATCGGAGAAAGCAGAAAATACAGTACAAAATATTTTACCGCAAAAATCTAGGGAAATACCAATACCTGAAGTAATACCATTAATTACAATTTTGTAGAATTTTTTATAGAAATACGAGTAATTACTGTTATTGTGTTCAATACCAATATAAATATAATATTTATAGGTCTTGATTATTTATCGGGTGTAGAAAAAATAGCGTATGCAACTCTCATGTAATGGTTATTACATGATCGTTGCATAATATACTATTTTTACTCTTTTGGTCCTGTTATCTTCTAATTTATAGCACTTATTGAAAGAAATAGGTTAGTGTGTCAAATATAATTAAAACGCAAATATCATTCGAAGAATTCGCTATTCAAATAACAGCCTTTCTAAAGGAGAATTTCTAAAAAGAAATGTTTCCAAAATAGTTTTCACTAATCACTATCTTCTTTTTCCTAGGGTTTATATTTTTCTAATTGGAAATATTTGTAAAAGAAATAAACCAAAAATACTAAATATTTTTGCTGGTGAAGATCGCTCGAGCTTTAGTGGCTTTTTATTTTTAGTGTGCTTGCGCAGTAACTAATACAAAGCTGCTGTTTGGATTCCGCCTGTTCTCGTTCCTCTCGTCACGTCAGTGCCTTTCCGTACCGCTGCTGGATCTCGAATAAAGGATAAAGAATAAAGTTATCCTTCCTCCATGGGATTTTCTAATTTTTCTAATATAAAATTGTATTTATATGCGCACCAATGGGAATACTTCGCAACATTATGTGCCTCGAAAATATTGAGAGCTTTAAATTTGTGCAACGATAAGGCAACACTCTACAGGTACATTTAAGAAAAAAAGTGGGAAATCCTCCCATTTAAAAACTACTAAATATTCATTAAAACAAGAAGCAGACATTTTCTTAGATAATACAGAATGGCTCGTAATGTTTTTTCGAAATTCCATTTAAACATTTTCAAAATAAATAATTTTCGATTGTTTACAAAAAATTCAAGGTTATTATTAGTATTTCCTGAAAATTTTACAAAAATCGGACAATAAATAAAGGCTGAAAATGAATTATACATTTTCGAGATGTTCGGTTTGCTTTTAAGTACCTATATATTATTTAAAAAATGTTATGTTTTAATGTATATTTTATTCTAATTAATAGAGAAAAATCGTACATTTATATGCCTTTGAAACTCAGTTGACATTTGTGCCATATTCAAATAGTATATTATTAAACGAGCAATTTATGGTAGCCATTATTCACGAAGGGTGACGTTTACGTCCCGAGCCGTAGGCGAGGGGCGCAAGTCACCCGAGTGAGTAATGGCCATAAATTGCGAGTCTAATACTATACTTTGTCCACGACCATTATGGTTTCTTTATTAAATAAAAGTTAAGTGTAGAATGGAAAGTTTTTATTAAACATAGATAACTAACTGTTGTTTTTTCGACTTTTGGATTTTTTGTTTTTATCGATTTGTCGATTTTTCGATTTGTTTTCGATTTTTCAATTTTTTTTCGATTTTTCGATTTTTTTTTTTTTTGATTTTTTGATTTTTCGATTTTTTTTCAATTTTTTTGGATTTTTTTCGATTTTTCGATTTTTTTTCGATTTTTTTCAATTTTTTTTCGATTTTTCGATTACCTATAAAGAATATTTTCAGTTTAGACATACGTGCTGTCGTGACGTCATACCGTGACTAATGGATCATTATTCACTAGTGAATAATAGGTATTATTATTCTTAAGGAAGTACAAGTATAATGAATGTTTTATAGAACAGTCGTGGACAAAGTTTGTAACGCACCTAAAGTACCCACTACCTACGTACTGAAAAGAATCATTAGAGAGTTGAAGTGATGTTATAAACGTAAACGTATACGTGAAATTTGACATCTGCGCATGCCTATTAAAATATCCTTCACGTTTACATCTACGTACATACGTAAACTTACGGGCTCTGGCGTATACACGTAACGCAAACAAAATAACCTCTTTTTAATAGGAAAATTAGAAATCCCAATATGTCATTAACTGTCATTATTTGTCATGGTACGTAAATGTCACGATGCGTTTAACAACTTCAACTCATATTTTGTACAGGGTGATTCTTTTATCATGGGAAATGAGTTTTTCTCGTAAACGGCTGCAGCAAATTGAGTTTTGTGAAAAGTATTTTATTTGGGCCGGCTAATGCTTAAAATTGGGATGGATAAGGAAGTTATAAATAAGCGACGCTGGGCGTCGCGACGCTTCAATTTTTTTTTTGTCAGAAGCATACCATTTTTATTTCAGAAATTGAAAGATCTATTCAATAGAAACACTTTTTTCAAATACCATTTTTTTCCATCTAAAACCATTCAAGCATTACAGACCAGTTTTTATGTTTTAAATTTGTCGATTGCCATACAAAAAATGCTGGGTTTTTAAATTTCACTAAATCAGGCAGGCTAACTTTTATGCTGATATTGACAACAAATATAATTTAGGATTTAAAGAAAACAATTTACAAGATGTTCCTACATTTAATAACACTTATGTAATTGTTTAGGAAATAATCAAAGTTTACACTAACAACCCATAAAACATACATAAAACATTAAAGAATAACATGAACTGTATTTAGTAAAAATTAATTGCTAATTCACAAATCTTATTTTAACAATTGCTCGATATATGCGCCATCGTTATCCACACATAAATTGTACCGCTTTCTTATTTCGAAAGATGTAACTTTTCTTAAAACATCACCAGATATTCCATTGCACGCATCAATAATTTTTTGTTTTAAAATATCTAAATTATTAGATTTTGTTTTATACACTATATTTTTTAAAATTCCCCATAAAAAGAAATCTAAGGGTGTCAAGTCCGGAGATCTAGGCGGAAATTTCAAGGGCCCGTGTGTCCCCAACCATCTTCCGTGGTAGACTTCATTCAAATAATTTTGAACAATGACCGCATTGTGGCAAGGAGCTCCATCTAGTTGAAACCATAAGTTTCTTCTGATTTGCAGTGGCACATGTTCCAGCAAAAGAGGAAGGTGATTTTGGAGAAAATCTAAGTATCTTGGGCCCGTCAAGGCGCCTTCATAAAAGTATGGCCCTACTAAGTGCCGCCCGACTATTCCGCACCAGACGTTTATGCCAAAGTGGCCCTGTATTTGATGTTGTCTGATTTTGCGCGGGTTTTCGTCTGACCAATAATGGGTATTTTTTTTGTTTGGTAATCCATGACTAACAAAATGACTTTCGTCTGTCCATAGTATATGAGAAAATAAATTAGGATTGTCATCCAAAGACACCAAAAACTGACAAATAAAATCCTTCCTCCTCTCAAAATCTCTAAGCGAAAGTTCTTGCAAATTATGAAATTTATAGTCATGGTATTTGTTGCTTTTTAAAACTCTTTGTATCACACTATAATTTAAATTTAAGTCTCTTGAAGCCTCTCTTATAGAAGCTTCATGGTGATTGTTAAAATAATTTAAAATAATTGCCACATTTTCATCCGTCGTGACAGTTTTTGTTCTTGATCTTTTACCTGCAAATTTGGCTCATTGAATTTATGGGGATTTATTAAAAAACACAAAACCTACCTTCAAATGCTTTAGGGTTTTGACGTAAACTAGTTTCTAACCTGGCAAACATTTTGTGGTCTGGAAGGTTGCGTTCGGGGTATTTTTCCGCATATAATCTTCTTGCAGCTAAACCATTTTTTTGGGCTTCTCCGTATAAAAGAAGCATGTCAACTTTATCTGAATGTGTAAACATATTTCTTATTACTCACTATTTTAATAGGAATAATTGAAATTACACTGACAGTTTCAGACATCAATCAATATAAGCCAATTATGTTTTTTCAAAGCCTACCTGATTTAGTGAAATTTAAAATACCATGCATTCTTTGTATGGCAATCTAGAAATTTGGAACATAAAAACTGGTCTGTAATTTTTGAATGGTTTTAGATGGAAAAAAATAGTATTTAAAAAAAGTGTTTTTATTGAATAGATCTTTCAATTTCTGAAATAAAAATGGTATGCTTCTGACAAAAAAAAATTTAAAGCGTCGCGACGCCCAGCGTCGTTTATTTATAACTTCCTTATCCATCCCAATTTCAAGCAATAACCAGCCCAAATAAAATACTTTTTACAGAACCCAATTTGCTGCAGCCATTTACGAGAAAAACTCATTTCCCATGATAAAAGAATCACCCTGTACAGCAACGTAAACATTATTTTTCTGCGTTCACGTTTACGTTAACGTACTGGAAATACTTCAACTCTCTATTATTTGTCATGATACGTAAATGTCACGATACGTTTAACAACTTCAACTCATATTTTGTACAGCAACGTAAACATTATTTTTCTGCGTTCACGTTTACGTTAACGTACTGGAAATACTTCAACTCTCTATTATCTAATTATTAGGATATACAAATCACGTGACATTAAGTGGTGGACGATTGACAAAAACAACATACAAAAGTTAGTGTTTTGTGACATTTCTAGTGAAGTTATTAGTCTAAGCGTTTGTATGATTATATTTTAAACTTCTTAGAAATTAATAAATTAACGTAGGACCCTTTAGACCAGCCATACTCAATCTTTTTTTCCTTTGGGCCACATTCGTATGTGTGCTATGTTACACGGGCCGCAATATTTTTGGATGATAACCTTTTTTTTAGGACATCTATCTAAAATTAGTTAGTGGGGACCACTAATAAATAAAACACAAAACAAATATATCCCATTGTGTTACTGCAAAAACAAGATAACACAGTTTTAGAGTTTCGATAAAACACTATTCAAACATTTAAAACTGAATAAAAAAATCAATAAAAGCTTCAAACCTTCTACTAACTTCAGAAGGTATTGAAAACATTGTTCACAAAGTATAAATGGTGAAATTCATCAGGTGTATCTGATTTTGCAAAATTTTAGTAAATCTTTCTTCTTACACTTTTTTGTAAGTATTTTCAAAACTTTGTTTCATCCTTTCATGCATCCCTCTGAATAAATACTGTGCGAGTTTGGCATATAAAGCCGAATTCCCCACCCTCGCCCATTGATAAATTAAATCTATTTTTCTGGTGGAATGTATTTAGGATAGCTGAATCTTTCGATACGTTGTCTATTAGAAAGTATGGTTAAAATTCATATTCGCCTGTTACCACTAATACTTTTATTTATGAATTTTCACATAATGATTCGCTCGTTACGGCTTGACGAATCACTCGTTACAGCTCGACCAATCATCCGTTACATCTTGACCAATCACTCGTTCACCACGGATATTCGAACATCACGTGCTATTATCTAGTGGTTGTTTAAGGTTAGCTGTATCTTGGAAAGAAAGGGTGACGTAATCATCTCGTGAATTTCGGAACAATCGAGAAAGGCCAGAGACGGCTCTAGTCATAACAAAAAAAATGGCGTGGGCACAATGTAATATTTCAAAAAACACATTCTGCAAAAATAAGTAACGGCAAACCACTCCCGAAATACTGACACGTTTTCACTGGAAATCATCGAAATCACTACACATTTTCTCGAAAATTCCAAAATCATCATCTAAAATCATGGTCGAAATCAATTCGTCGCTCACAACCCGAAATGGCGAGAAAAAAGATCATCGTATACAATTAAGGTGGATGTTCAGTAAAATCACCTAAATTACATAAAAATGTTTAGTGATTTCCGAAATCAAGGTACGTTTTGACCTTATTGGTTTCCCATCGCTTTTGGCCTTTATCTTGTTTTGGCAGGAACACTATTAAAAACCGGACTAAATATACTTAGCAAAAATAAGTTATATGCCTATTATCTGGTTTTGGTAGATATATTTATCAATTGATCACAATGTTATGATTATGTTTTGCTATAAATGCCACTCCATCTTATTTGTCCATATTGTTAATGTATTAACATCGAGTTAGTTTTTATTGGCTATCTGTTTATCATGAATATAGACTTCTTTTACACTTGTAAAAAGTGTACCTACTTAACTCAAAAATTCCAAAATTGGAACTGTCTTTTTTTGCAGTAACCCCACAAAATTCCAAACGTTTATTTAAAAATTAGCGTGCTATTTAGCGCTGCGACCAATAATAGTGTTGCGGGCCACAAATAAAGCTTGGAGGGGCACATGCGGGCCGCAGGTTGAGTATGGCTGCTTTAGACTCTTCAAATCAGCGATTAACAATTCTTAAACTCGAATTTTCCATACTTTTCAATAAGAATAAAACACTAATGAAAAAGTTATGTTAACAAACTTTGTTATTTTTGCCAATCGACGAACATTTTTGGCCATTCTGACAATACGTTAGATTACCTAATACGATTAGACTCAAAAAAACACTCGCATCTACTTACGCATACTGAATTTACATCAGCCTCATGTCCGAAAAATGTTTGCTTCGGTTTATCCTCTCGAATATCCCACAGTCTACAAGTTTTATCAACGCTTCCCGTTACAAAGGTATTCCCATCTGGAGATAAACTTATGGAGACTACGTCACCGTTGTGTGCATTGAAATCGGAAGTTTTTCTACCTGTTTCTAAATCCCATTTACATCTGAAAACATTCGTTAACTTATTTAATTCGATGATTGGAACAGAAAATTTGGATTTTTTTATTATCTTTCAAGAGCGTCCTTATTCAAGACGCCATATTTGTATTACAGTTGGCTCCGCCCACAGTTACTTTTTACATTGTATAACAAGAGTAGCTTCAAGAACATATTATGTAGAAAGGTATGGGCTGTTGCTGTTGGTTTCAATCAGTCCCATGTCTGGTTAGTTTAATTTAAAAAAATAACTCACGTGATATGTTTAATGTTCAACAAGGTTATCAACTTGTAGAAGAGTTAATAAATGTAATGACAATCGATGAGGTTATATTTGTAGTATAGTATAAACGTATAATTTGTTTTATATGAAGATTTGTTTTGTATAAACTTCAAATAAAACAGTTATGGCTATGTTTACTCTAACTTGAATGACGGGTGTCCAGACCGCCAGGTAGCAGATCTCCAGTGCTCTGAATGCGACAAACCTAATTATTGGCCCTATTAGGGTATCCTTAATAACCTAACCTACCTTATTGTTTGATATATAGTTGAAAGTTGACTCAATCCCAAATTCAACGCGTTGTCAATGACAAATGATGGGGACTTCACAAAAAATACAGCTCTGAACGATAATATTTTGAGAAATTATTTTTAAAATTGGTTTCAGAGTACGGTAAAGAATGGTGGGAAGTATATAGTATTTTTTTACTTTTAATGCATAATATTTTAATAAGTGATATTTAACAAATATTTAAAAGTTATGGACTTTCCATTATTTTTATAGTATTTAAAGGCTAAAACGCAAAATACACGCTTTTATTTTTGACCTAATTATTTTTATAATTATTTCAGGAAATTTGCAACCGTGCTAATTTGCGACATACGTTCTTTAAACTCATGGTGTTACGTATTTGTTGACATTAAAAGATAGAAATTTAAATGAATGAATGAAAAATCGTTTTCTAACCTAAGAAAAAAGTTGAGTTTGGTCTTAAGTACGCTTATTGCGGGATTCTAGAATGAAAGATGACAATACGATTCTTAAATGACAGATGAGAGTGATCTTGAAAGACAAATGACAGAATAATGAGGGGATCCCATACTGGCAGATGACTGGACAATAAGGTATTCCAAATAAAATATTTGGGTTTTAAAGTATTAAACAACTCGAAAGAGCCCTTAAATAGAGCCATGAATTTACAATAATCATTTGTCATTTAAGAATTAGGTTACTTAATGGTTTATGACTTCTGATAGTAGCCACTTTCGGTTTTGCGAATCTCTAAATACCCGCCAAATTTTTTAATTTTCAAGAACATGTAGGTATTTTATTTGAATTATTTATAGGTACTGTTAAATTAAACGAGTAAATGGTAACTTACATTTTCATATCGCCTGATCCTGTTATAATCGATTTGTCGTCTAAAAATCTACAAGAACTTAAAAATCCATCGTATCCGGCCAATTCCCTGACCATTTTAGCAACTCCGTTTGAGTCTCTGTTATTTAAATCATAAACCGTACACATGTTGTCCATACCTCCACAGGCTGAAATGACAGAACACCTTTAAAATATTAGGATAACACTAACGTTAATCAAGAGAGCCTAATGACAAGGTCACAGCTTTTTTTAAATGCTGAAAGGCATAATTGTAACCTAACTTAGGAAATGGACAGATTGTATAAAAGTTCGACTGCTCAGGGGGGCTATTTTCAAAGTATGGGAGTACTCATTTCTCTCAAGATTCTCATCAGAAATGTCATACGTCAATGTGAAAATGTTGTTTTTAAAGGCATCGAGGATTAAAATTCTTAGGAAGATTTTAATTCTCTCTAAATAAACCGAGAGAAACAGTCAGTGAGTTCACACTGGCCCTAAGAGCCCTAAAAATACGGTTTTACGTTGACGTATGACATTTCTCTTGAGAGAAATGAATTCTCTCGAGTTTGAAAATAGCCCCCCTGATTGTGGATTATGTAATATTGAATAATCTAAAAGCTTATTCCAGTTTTGTTAAAATTTACTATAAACCTCCCTATATTCAGTGAAATTAGTTCTTAACCTTAGAATAGCTTTAACACATTTTTTTGAAGAACCAAAAAAAACCTATAGTGCCGACAAGATCAAACCTCTGGTCCTGGACAGGGATTCTTATGAGCGTACTCAACACATAACGAATCGAATAGAGAGAGAGGCATTGCATGCAAATCGCATTCTGTGGAACGAAGATAGTCGTCTCAACACGTGCCGTATTGAAAGATGAGAGTCCCAATCCTGTTTTGCTTGTTTTGAGTGAATAGTAAATGGTGCTTACATATTCAGAAAAAAACGACATAGTATCACTGCTGTCATTCACAGGTCAAGGCTCGGGTCGGTAGCTCCTTAGACAAGGAAAGAAAGTTTATCAAGCACTCGTAGTTTTCTGTGCTGATTATCTATTGCCCGCCATTATTTTGTTGCTTAGCATTTCAGCGGCACCAAAGCTTTTTACTCGTTTATTTGTTATTTTTGAATTAAACGACATTTGATAGTTTGTTACAATGGTTTATTGTATTTTGCATTGCATATCAGTTTAAAAGTCGTAGCGACAAGAAATAACCAGATATTACGTTTCACAGGTAAATAATAAACGTGAAATATTTATACTTTATATATTTTCTTATATTTTTTATTTTATTTGGTTATTATAGAGCTTGGTATTTATATATTTTAATGTCTTACTCCAGAGTTATAAATGTTATCTGCCAAGTTTGTTTATTTTATGCTTTTCATTAATTTTCAAGCAATTATTAATATGCCAAAAAAATTTTCTAGTGGCGTGTCGTACAATTCTAAATATTAACTTTTATCAAATACTTTTTACTGATGAATCTACTTTCCAAAAATGAACATGAATATCGAACTGTAAATCGACAAAACCGATGGTCTTTAAAAGTTTATGGTGAAATGGTAGGAAGACAGTTGGTGAGGCCCTATTTAGACGAAAAATGTGGCTGCAGCTAGATGGTGCTCCCGACCGGTTTTCGCATAATGCCAGGACATATTTCAACCCAAAATTTCCTGAAAATGGATAGGAACAAGAAGACCTGCTAATTGCTTCCTCATCTAAAACCTGTGGAGGGTGGTTTACCTCCACATCACTTAGGCCTCACTAGGCCCATTGTGTATCTTAAGATGCGTTCTTTCTTTTTAAAAAAGTATGCAAACACACTGTCCGGCCCACTTTCCACAATCGTGACCCTGTCTTTTAAAACATCTACTCTACCCGACTTATCTACTCTACCCGACTTATGGAAAATTGCATCAGTCACAGCTATATTTAAGAAGGGTGATAAAATGGATGCTTCAAATTACAGACCTATAAGCCTTCTGTCTATCCCATCAAAAATCATGGAAACATCAAAGTTGATGTCATGACTAACTTTTTCAAAGAGCATAATGTAATACCAAAGGAACAACACGGTTTTGTTAAAGGTAAATCTACCACAACAAATCTTTTATGCTACATTAATGATTGGTCTCGCTCACTCGAATGTAAACAACCAACTGATGTAATTTATCTCGATTTTGCAAAGGCTTTTGATAGGGTCCCTTTCGTCAGATTGCAGCACAAACTCGAGTCACTTGGCATTCGAGGAAAATTATTGTCATGGATTCACAATTATCTAGGAAATAGGAGCTTTCGAGTCAAAGTTGGTCAGTCCTACTTATCAGATAGATTAGTGGCAAGTGGTGTCCCCCAAGGCTCGATACTGGGTCCGCTTCTTTTTATAGCTTATTCGAGTGATCTACCTTACCATATGCAAATGACACAAAATTTTACGGAAACCCCTTAGTAGACTACGATAATATACAAGCTGACTTAAATTCAATAAGTGATTGGTGCTCGGACGGTAGATATAAACAAGTGCGTGGTGTTACATATCAGCAAAAATAATCCACGTCTTCGTTACTCGCTTGGTAGCCATAATTTGGCGCAAGTGTCTTCGTATGTAGATTTAGGTGTTTTAGTGACGTCAGAACTAACATGGTCTGAACACATTCAAAAAACATGTAAACGTGCAAATTCGATGTTATATTTGCTTCGAAAGACTTTTGCAAAGGTATCCTTTCATACATCCATCAAATTATTTAAGATTTATTAGAATATGCAGGTGTAGTTTGGTGTCCGCTTCTTGTGCGAGACCAAAACCTTTTAGAAAATGTTTAACGCCGGGCTACCAGAATGACCTTTGGAGCAGTCCGACCATCATATGCAGAAAGACTACAATTGTCAAATTTACCAACTATTACGAATCGTCGACTACGGGGGGGCCTGGTTCTCACTTTTAGAATACTTAAATATAATTACGGAAATCTTAGTGACATTTTTTTGTTAAATACTGACTCTCGTCTACGTCTACTAAAATTAAAAAAGGAAAACCTAAAAACAAAGCACAGAAAATCATTCCTTTCCAACCGGGTATTTAATGTATGAAACTACCTCAGCGACGTTAACGTCTTTAAAAATAAGTTAGACGAGTGTTTGTTTAATTAACATTTTTATTTGATTTTTAGTGTTCTTATCTTTTTGTTTCAGTGTGTTTACTTTGTTAGAATTTTTCTATTTTGTTTTTAGGCTATCATAGGCCTTGTGTCCTCAGCCTTGTATCAATGTATAATAATAATAATAATAATAATAATAATAATAATAATAATAATGACAGGCAACTCCTAGCTTGTGAGTTAGCCTACAGATTTAATGTAGTTGACAACGTCGCCAAGAGGTACTTCTCTTATATCGGCCAGTGTTAGCCGATACTCGCCGAACACAAATCTTCTAATAGTTTAATAGTGCAGAGTTTGGATTCTGATATGGATATGCTTCCGTACTTGGCAATGACCAGTCAGAATGCCTGTGACCAGGCGCAGATTCTGTCTAGTCATAGTCAAGTATTCGTTTGCTGTAGTATTATCAGGTAAGGTATCCAGGCATCCATGGCAACTCTGCAGTTTTTTTTTTTTTTCATCCTATCTTTAATTAAATTTCACAAGGGAATGTTCTTTAATTAGGTCTGTTACTTTCAATAAAAGGGCCAGGTCCAAAAAGTATTTGGTTGGCTGCCTTCTTGGCCAGTGAATCAGCAAGACGGTTACCTTTGATTCATCTTAAAGTGACCACGTTGTTGATGGATACTTCGGCAAAAGCTTTGTGACATTCTATAGCACTAACGCTGAATAAATTCGTGTTCTGTTTAGGGTGAGTAGTGCTTGTCAGCTATCTGTATAGATGAGCATGTTCCTTCCAGTGATATTGTGTGATTTCTTCTGCTGCTATGAGAATCCTCGTGAGTTCTGTTTGAACTACACTGGCACTATTGCTTGCAGCCTATTTTATGTTTAAGTTTAAGGATCTGGAGTGTATTCTACATCCTGAGCCTTGTTTTGTTTTAGAACCGTCGGTGTAGATATTAATCGTACCTGCCACTTCCGGCTCTTCTATCTATTATAACTTTATATGGTTTATGGAAGATATATCTAGTGGGAGCGTACAAAGCGCCTCCTGCCAAAAGCGACGTCTCGCCTCGCCAAATCCTACATCAGGTTTTATTCCAACCTTGCGGAGGCATGTCATTGTCATCAGAGCAACCTTCTTGATGTAAATGTTAAGAGGAGTGAGACTAAGAATGAGTTCCATTCCTCTGGTCGGTGTGGTTTTCATGGCTCCTGTTGAGACATGTTGTTCTGTAAATTTGTTCTAGTATGCGGATAGCTGTCAATTTTTGGGTGTTCGGTACCCAGACAACTTCACCGCATAGGTCTTTTTGATGGCCGTATAAATCTATGCGACGACTTTGGGGGAGAAACCCTAGGTGCACCCCATGGATCGGCGGAATTATTCATAAGCAATGTATGCTCTTTTGACTATGTTTTATAAGTTTGAGTTTCATGTTAACTTGCTGTCAAAGGTAAGACTTAAGTACTTTGTCTGTTACAAAGTTAAGTTTTGTGTTTAGGAGTTTTGAAGGTTTTAATTTCATTTTTATCCAGTTCCTTGTGAAAAGGACGATTTCTGTCCTTGCACCACCGTTCTTACTATTTTCAGCGGCGGTTTTCTAAATAGGCTAGCTAAGCTATAGCCTACGGCAGCAAATTTTTAAAAGCAAAATTTTTTTCCGAAGCTATTTGATTCGTATTATCAACTTGGCCGAATTACTTATCTCTCTACTCGATTTTTAATATTTAATTATCAAAGATGGGAATAGGATATCTTTATATTGGTATTCTGGTTTGGAACATCCTGTATATATGAAACTAATTTTAATTTGTAGCCGTCGTTTTTCATGTGTCTTATTTATTGTTCCGCATTTATTTTAATTTTTACGCTTTGAACTTGCTTTAATAAAGTACTAATAATATAAATAAGTTTTTAAAACATGTAGTGCCTGTACTTAATTTTTATAAAAACAATTAATACGACCGAATAAACCAGTGAACTTTCTATTTATATAAATAAGGTGATTGTTTTATTTAGCACTGGTGTCAGAACGGAACAAGATTTGCTGCGACGTTACGAGTCCTCTCTTTATACCTAGTCTAAGAGTAACTCGCTACCGACCAGTAACTAACAACGTGGTTATCACATCATCTCCTCTCCTTCACATTTAAACACCATTTACTATTTATTCCAACACAAGCAAAGTGAGATGTGAGATGGTTTGATCTTGCCAGCTCCGTTAATACTCACCTACGTAATTTCCTGAATTGGAAAAAGCCACGCTCATCACCCAAGCAGATCTTAAAGGTATGATTTGCATTTTATTTCCCGTATAAGTGTCCCATATTATTAATTTCCCATCTAGAGAGCCAGTAACACAATGGCGACTATCACCGCTGTAATGAACTGAATTTACTTTGTTTAAATGTCCTTTCATTAATTTTTTCGTCGTTAATTTTACTTTCGGGGCCGCGCCTACATTTTCGCATTCCTTTTCTAAGCTGGTGTCTTCTACTTTTTTTTGGTCTTCCTGAAAAGTAAAGTTTTTAAATAAACTGATAATCACAAATGACAAACACTGAAATGACGAAGTACTGTGGTACTGTCATCTTTGCTGTACCGTGCATAAATCGGACGTCACATTATATTGATCTGCTTAGAAGACAGATAGTAACTAATAGTAATAATGTAATATTATAATAATGTTTATTTAAAATTTAAATAAGGAACAAATAATGGATTATAAAAACGCATCGGAATTTTTAATCCTATTTACGTAGAAACAATCAATAATGATAACGAGGGTCAAAACGCAGGACCTTGTAACAATTTAGAAATTTTTCAGGAGAGCTAAAAACGATTAGGTACATTCGACTTAAAAGACACACGAATTTCAAAACATTTTTTGTACTCCTAGAAAGTAGAGAAGTTTAATTTTAAAATCTCAAAAATTGCACATTTTTGATAAAATATTTTGACATATGTGTACAGGGTTGCCAAGTATTTTAATATGTAAGAAGATATAACTTATTTGTAAACTCGTAAATTATTATACTTTTGTTTTGTTTATTTAAATAAAAATAATAGAATTTTGTGATAAAATACCAGAATCTGTATCAAATATCGCTCCCAGACACAGATCAGAGAATAATATCTGTTCATATCAGCTTATACAATTGTTTATAAAAGCCGGGAGTACCGTACCATTTGACGTAATTTAGAAGTAGAAACCGCATGTGGTCCATATTTGGCTTTGCAGACATGGGAGGCATCCTTACGAGCCGAACGCGGTGAATAGAAAGCGAGCGCGCCCGCCGACGTTTCGAAATTCGCGCGCGCAATATTTTTCAGTATTATATTATGAAAATAATGTGCAGGATATGGGTCTTCATATTATGGTTTTCATATAAAAAATATACAATTTATTTTAAAAATATTGGGGCAGAATTTAGTTAATTTTATTGACAATTTCAAATTAAATTATATCAATATACCTACATAAAGAGCTGAATTTACATGTATAAACAACTCATTCATTATTAACATCTTCGGCATAACTTATTTCCTCTTCTTCGCCGCTTGCTTCATCTTCGTCCGATTCTAAGACGTCGATGTTTATTCTTCCATCGTCTTCTCCATCTTCTTCTTCAGCATCTGTATCGTCTCCATGTTAGTTATTATTATCATATTCGACAGCATCGTTTATATTATTTGCATCATCATTGTCCTCTGCATCTGCAAAATTAAAATAAAAATAATATAAAATTATTTACATATAATTGATGCAGACATAAAAAAAAAGATATTTTTACCTTCATTTTGGTTCGCATCTATTAGAATGTCATGGGTAGCTCATTACCTTCGAATCTCAGGAAGGTATACGATCAATCTTCCACTATCCAACTATACTGTAGTGAATCTAAAGTGGACGGTATTGGTGCAACGGTATTCATCCGCCACAAATGGCCGATATAGGACGATCTTAAAATCTGCTAGAGTTGGGATCGTTCTGTGTTGAGGTTTAAGTGCTTTGAAACGATTAGCGCAACTGGAGTGATATCCAATTGTATCACTCACTTTTGAAGACAGTTCACATTCTCCTTACTTCAATTTGTAGAATTTTCGGCATTCTATATTTTTCTTAAATTTTGATAATCATTTATGGTCAAATAATATAATATTCTCATGGGTGGATTATTTGCAAATAAAACAGCTCCTTGTGTCTGTTATTTCTGAATTTTCATTCATGCTGCTTCCAAATAAGTGTAAAATATCTGTAAGTATTTATTCTATGAATTAATGGAACAGTATTGTTGCCATATAAAAAAAAATAAAACTAAAAACCTAAATATCACCCTAAATCATCTAAATATCTATTCTTAAAATTATTTTATATTAATTTTATTATAAATGTTGTCTCGTGGCGGGACATTTCAACGACTAATTTTATACATTGTAAATGTTTATTAACTTACCGCACTTTCAAATGATTGTAAAAATTCAAATACCTATTTCATTTTATTAACTTAATAAATGTATATCACAGTACTTACCAACTATTTAATTTGAAGAAAATAACTAATGTAATGAACCACAACCTGTGACTTCGATTTTGACCAAAAAAAGTTCAATTATAAAAATAGGAATAGTTAATAACGCACAATAATTATTTAATCCGATAATTTGCATGTTTAAGTCAGTGAAATAATTTAACATAATATTATATACCTATCAACTTATCAAAAATTTAAAAAAACCGACTTCAAAAACGTGCAGATGCCATCACCATATCTTAACCAAATTTATATGGGACCACCCCTGAGGTACCCCCTTACTAACAAAAAAGAATCGTATAAATCGGACAAGGTGGTAAAGCATTACCGCTAAACATACATAAAAAAGAGTTTGAGGATTTTCTCAAGGATCAAATTATTAGATTTTGACCAAATTTATATGGGACCACCCCTAAAGCAGCCCCTTTCTAACAAAAAAAGAATTATTGAAATCGGACACCGTGTTAAAAAATTATCGCTGAACATACATAAAAAATGAAGAGTTTGAGGATTTTCTCATGGACCCAATTATTAGATTTGTACTAAATTTATATGGGACCACCCCTGAAATATCATCTTTCTAACAAAAAAAGAATCAATAAAATCGGACACAGTGTTAAAGAATAATCGCTGAACATACATAAAAAAAAAAAATATCGCGACGAATTGATAACCTCCTCCTGTTTTTGAAGTCGGTTAAAAATTATAGGTACATCAACATTTTCTGATCGACAAGAAAATCATTTTGATATGTCAAAAGATTTATCCCCTGACCACAGTTTATAGCTTAAAAGAATCAGTTCGCCCACTCGGACCAATTAGATGTTCCAAAATAACTCTACTCTAGGGATACAAATTCAGGATACGCAGAAGACTGCTGTTTGAATATAGGCGGTGGGAAGATTTGATATATCCAAGGGTTGCGACATACAATGTTTTCTGTTTACAATACGTAAAATTATGAATATTGGATTACATTTAAATATTTTATGTCAAACACAATAAAAATAAGATACATTTTTTCATAAATTGGCAGGCTTTGTGACTATTATTTCGAATAAAAAAAAAACGTTCAAGATGCAAGACTATGTCTCTACCCCCTTAGATATACCAGACCTTCTCACTGACAGCTATTGTTTGACAGGTCGTTGGATTGCTTAATTGGTAATAGTAAGAGCTCACTGCAAATTACGACCGCTATCTGATAACAAAATGAAATATGCTCCAAAGACATGTAACAACATTGTACTTTACCAAATTGCTCCTGTGCCAATCTGTAATCCAGAGCAAAGTGGTTAAAAAAAATTATTTTATATTCAAAAAATTACATAAGACATGACAGCGATAATTGTGTTTTCTCTGAAAATTACAATCCTAATTCATTGTGAACCTAGCTTTTAAACCTGAATTATTAATATTTTTACCTAACTTTGGCAGAGATAGTCAATAATAATTATAAGCTCTTGTTAGACAATTCTTTTAAACTATAATCATAGTAGTATTTTTGTCGTTTCTATGACTACCTGTAAAAATGAATCACAACAATAGGCATACAAATAAATTCTTAAATCAGCAAAAATTGATTCATATTTTTAATGATTTTTACCTACTAATCGTGTGTAGATGTTTTTGTGCGATGCTAAGAGGAAGAAAATGTTTCCCGTTAACGATATATATCAAGATATATGTGAATATGTTATTATCTGGAAAACTTTAAGGGCAAACAAAATTAGCGCTGTCATGCCTTATGTGATGTTTTTAATATAAAATATTTTTTTTTAAACACTTTGCTCAGGGTTGGGATTGTCACAGGTGCCATTCGGTAAAGTACAATGTTTTTACAACCTTTTGGGGTATATTTTATTTCATTATCAGATGGCAGTAAAAATTTACAGTGGGCTCTTGGGCTATTATGATTTGATTCCGTATGCGGCAGGGATACAAATCCGAGTTGCGCAATGTATAAACTGGAACATTGAGATCAAAAGTGCCGACGAAGAGTGAGTGAACTGATTCTTTAGCTATAAACTGTGCCCTGACATTCTTGATTGCTTTAATATCTTTTATTAATGCAATTAGGCATTCCAACGACCTGTCAAACAATATGTGCCAGTGGGAAATTCTTGTATATCTAAGGGGGTAGCGACATAGTCTTGCAACTTGGACGCTATTTTTATTCGAAGTAGTAGTCGCCAAGCCTGCCAATTTATGAAGAAATGTATAGGTAGGTTTTTTTAAATATTATTTTTATTGTGTTTGACATAAAATATTTAAATGTAATCCATTATTCATGATTTTACGAAAAGTAGATGGAATACACCGTATGTCGCCACCCTTAGATATATCAAACCTTCCCACTGGCAATTCATTTGTTTGGAATGCCTAATTCAAAATGGTTTCACGAAGTGTCTATTCCATAGAATACATGATTTTCATTATTAATTTCTAGGATATCTACTTTTTCATGTTTAGTAGCTGCATTCTTATTTTATACATACATTAATTTTATAGTAATTCAAAAATGGACCAACACATCTTTGTAATGAATCTGTTAATATTTTTTAACAGGTATTTTAAAGTTTATATTTAATAACTCTTTAAAAAAATATATAAATTTTTCTATAAAATAAACATATTGTTACTTCAGCACAAAATTCATATTAAAATTTACACCTAAAATATAAAAAGATAGATATCACTTTCCTTGAATAAATATTATATATTCAATGTTATTAAAGTTAAAATATTAGAGAAACTTAAAATAGTATACGAATAATCACCGAACAATAAATAATAATAACCCTGCGTAAATATTATTTGTAAATTTTTTGTCAACCCTTTTTTTAGATAAATAATATACTCCATGTCCGATACTTCTTCTAGATTTTTTTGTCAGCTTTTTGTTAAATAAATTATGTATAAATAATATGATGAGTGATGACCATGTCCGATACTCAAGCCTTTTGTTGTATAGTCTTAGAATCACTTTTTCTAAGCATATGTCAAACGGCTTGTGTGAGAAAATAGTGGCAATTTGCATACATTTTTCCTGCATGTTTCCTATGTTCTGAATATTCGGAGACCACCCTCTACACTCAAGCCATTATTTTTTTATGGACTCTTAAATTCATGTTTTTATTGCAAAAAATTTCGTTGATCTGAAAATAACTGAAAAATCGAAAAAAAATTGTGTTAAATTTTCCAACCCCAAAATAAACTTATCCACTCGCGCCACTCAAGCCAATATGTTTTTCGGGCTAGTGACGATGTACGTTTTCATACTCTCGATTGGCTTGTGTGGAAAAATCAGTTTAAATCTTAATTTTTTCCTTACAAAATTACGAGTCTTTGGCCACTTTGGTTTTCCGAAGCCAAGTTTTATTAATTAATCATTCAGTGAACACGGCTTGCGTAAAAATATGAGCAAAAAACACCTTTTATTCGAGGCTTGTATGCGAAAATGGGGCACCTAAATCAGTCACTATCTGACTCTAGCGGTATAATATCTGGGGTGAGGAGAGGAGTAGAAAGTTTGAAATCATTTCATTTAGAGCCTACGAACCTGCTCTTAGTTTTTTTCTGTTCCTTACCATTTACGCGTGGCAGAGAAAGAGGGGGGAAGTTGGTGGAGTGTAAGGAGAAGTAATTTTTTTTTTTTCGTTTTTTACCATCTACTATCCGTCTATGTAATATTGTCTATGTTGGTTCGAAATTAAAGGTTGCTTATGTTCGCTATAGGCTTATTTTATTAGTCATTCATAATTGTGGATCAATGGATTTCATATACCGAAGTTTAGGAAAAAAATAATAACTATTTCCAATTTTTTTTATTGATAACATTGAACCACGAATACTAAATAAAAATTAAAAAAGAAAATCGGTACACAAACAGAAGAGAAAATGGTACTGAACTATTTTGTCTTTGCCTATTTATATAATACAGATATGTGAAATTTATTTAAACATTTTGTTATTTTTGATTTCAATTTTTTTTTTTTTTCATATATATATATTTTTAAAAACACTGTATCTATTTGATAATGACGTTCTGCTTTTTATGCCTAATAGAAAATCATAAAAATACAGCTGATTACTGTCTAACAAAAAAAAATGTTACCTGTAATTTTTTGTACATATCCTCCAGCTCCTTCTTCAACGCTATGATTTCAGGATCGTTTTTGGGTGGCATCTTGCTGAATTTTCGCTGAAAAAAACACGCGAAAGTTCTTAGCGACACACAGTCTCATCGTACACTGAAGAGGTTTTGTAATCTACTTAAATTTAATTTAATAAGCAAACGAGGAGCCCATAAAAGTGCATGTTTTAACCCAATTTATGTGATATTGATTCTAAAAAAAAATGTCGTTGGCTTATACAATGTCTTTTTTATTCAAGGAAAATAATCTTTAAGAATCTAGATGTGGCTTCTGTGGCATATACAATGTGTCTCAAAAAAAGTACACAAGGTACACTTTTCATAAATTGAACATATACATTTCCATTTACACTTTATAAGAACAAGGAAGTAATCCACGCAGGAAGTAATCCACGAGAAGTTAGTGGGACAATTAATAATAATGATTTACTAATCCTTTGTGATCATATAATAATGATATAGGGTAGGTCAAATGAGGAGCTTGAATGCAGAACCGCCTATATCCATTCACAGTTCGATTCGGATCTTATATGTTCTGGTAAATGATTTACGAGTAAATGTTTAACAACTTGAAGAGTGGATTTTTTTCAAAAAGTGAGGCATAATATATCGGCGATCGAATAAGATACGTTGATGTCGAATAACTACGTATGACCCCAAGGGAGTATTCAGAAAGTGGCAAAGGGGGCAGTTGCACCCCCTTCCAAGCCCGAAAAAAATGAAGATAACTAGCAAGAAACAACTTTCTGTTGGATTACATTTCTTTTGATGAAAATACCAAAGAAATAAAATAGGAATTCTTAGGCTTTGTAGAGCTTGAAGTATTGTCAAGACTATTGATGATTTTGTGACAAATTGGGACCTAGACACTGATACATGAGTGATCTGGCAAGTAACACACTTCTATTAGATAACTTCTCTTTGATGAAAATACCAACGAAACCAGAAATAAATTCTTAGGTTTTGAAGAGCTTGAAGTATTGCCTAACCTATTCTGATTTTATGATATACTGCAATGTTATACCGTGGTAACCAACCTCTGTTTATGGTTGTTAAGGAAGTCATAACGGGTTGGTCGAGAAAAGCACAAAAGCAAACTTCCAGCTGAAGATCCAGGCGAAAATCTCTCATAATTTCTAACTTAAATTCAATTATTAAATCTCTACAAGTAAGTGTGTGTAAAATTCTACAATTTGGAAGACATCGAAGGGAGAGAATAATTATGGTTCAAAATATAGAATAAGGTATATGAAACACAAGACATCACTGAGATTTTAAACAAGAGGGAAATGTTTTTTCTGACCATTAGAAAGGCTGTTGTAATACTGATTTCACAACCATGTACAACTAGCACTACCGATCGGTCATTAAGACAAAGCTAAGGAGCACCATTAGTGAAAGTATGTTGTAGGCAGATACGGACATTGGAACTAGCGCCGAATAGTTTCCCATTATTGAGTAAGTACTAATCTGACCTAGATCTTAATGAACTGTAGTTTGAGACATACCATTTGATTTTCTGATATGTGCTGATTAGAGGAAGGTGTTGCTGTAGTCAAATTCACCCCTGACTGAACACTGCTCTATTAATGAACCTTCGAAAAATAGTATTTTACGCCACAAAAGTTCACAAATAATATTATCAATACATACATTTTCTCTTTGCTTAGAAAATGTCTTTGAATTTAACTAGTGTTAAACATTCAACATATTGAAGTTAAGTTATAAAATAAATGTTGTCAAGTAAAGGTAAATTGTTAAATAAATTATAAGTGTGAAATAGTTATTAAGCAATGATAGTTGTTAAGTATTGACATTCTTAAACAATTCTTTGTCGTGTCTCTGGTTGAGTTTTACAGATTTTCGTCTTCTAATAGCATACAAAAATTACTTAAATCTGGCTATCTAAGAAATCACATCATCAACGTTCTGTGTAAGCTTGTTCCCTCTTATCTACTTAAGTTTAATATTCCTCAAAAGTTTTGCATTTGATTGGCTTCACTTACAGGATTGTTCCGAATGGAGTATTGAAACAGAAATGTTATTGGTCTCGCTATAAATTTATGTTTTAGTACATTTAGGACATCAGTGGAGGATGGCATCTATTTATACCTTTATGGTGAAACAGTGAGTTATATTAAACAGGCCAGTCTTTTCACCTCTGAGTAAAGTTGAAAGTAATTACTTGTTGATTAAACAATAGGGGTATTGTTTGGTAATCTGCCAAGTAAATCTACATGTAACTTTACTCAGAGGTGAAAAGATCGGCCATAAGTCAAATAAAAAGAGACGATCCAAAGAAATAACTATATTGCTTACGTTTCAATATAATTCGAAAAGGAGTCTTACCAAATAGAATAATATGGATATATTATTAAAATTTTTATTGGAATACAGTATTTAAATTCATTATCTTTCTCGACCTCGCTGCAATGAGCCGAACTAGACTACTATCGCATCGGCAATAATTGAAGAATTCAGAGTGTCGGCTGCAACAGATAGAAAGTTGGAAAGGCCAGTGTCGTCATGTATAATTATTATTTTAATTTAATGTTGGTTAGGTCATTTTAAACAAAGAACAAAAAGGTACATAAACTATTATATATAATTTTAGGTAAAAAAAATATGTATCCGTCTATGGGCGATCAAGAAGGTCGATTTGCTGCTGTTTTTTAGCGAGTTTAAGTTTAAGCTCGTCAAGCTTCGACAACCTACCTTGGCTGGGGAAACCATTCCTTTTGCAGAGAAGGTGAAATATCTGGGAATCACCCTAGATAAGAAAGTGACCTGGAACCCCCAACTGGATAAAACCATCAATAAAGCCAGATTATCCCTCTGAACCCTTAGAAGGATATGCGGCAAAGCATGGGGGATCAGTCCTCAACTGATCTATTGGATTTAACAAACAGTGGTAAAACCCATGGTTACGTACGGCTCTGTCGTCTGGTAGGACAAAGGACTTCAACGCAGGGCCAGAGCAAAGCTGGCTGGAATACAGCGGCTTGCGTGCCTCGCCATAACTGGAGCAATGTCAACTACACCTGCGGGAGCTATGGAGACCATGCTGGACCTAACCCTTTTCCACATTCTGCTGGAAAGGGAGGCCAGAATGGTCTCCTACAGGCTCCTGAAAGTGGGTAGTCAATGTTACGAAGAACTGCGATGGGACAAGACGGGGCTGATGAGTGAAATTAATAACCACCTCATCCTCGGCATGGTCTCGGACTTGCTAGTTCCCCGACAGCACATAGAAAAGCCATACAGCGTCCTCATTCCAGAGAGAGACGCATGGAGCAGAGGGGAAAAAACCCTCTCCAAGGCAGACTATACGTTGTACACGGACGGCTCCAAAACTGAAAAAGGAGTAGGAGCGGGAGTTTTCGGCCAGAGGCCTAGAGTTGACATATCAATAAACCTAGGCTCTCTGGCCACAATCTTCCAAGCAGAAATGATTGCTATAGAATTGGGAGCGAGAGAGTCGATTAATTTTCTCCCCGCAAACAAGACTATAAAGATCTTTTCAGATAGCCAGGCAGCCCTTAAGGCCTTGGAACTGTATAAATACCCTAGAGTGCCTCGGTGCCCGGAACAAAGTTACTTTGATCTGGGTTCCGGGACACAGTGGTGTGGAGGGTAACGAAAAAGCCGACGCACTTGCTAAAAGAGGAACCGAATCTATGTTCATAGGACCAGAACCATTCCTGGGCATTGCAAAAAGCACTGCCAAAGGAATTATCGCAAAGTGGACGGAGGGTGCAACACTCACAAACTGGAGAAATACCCCAGGGCTAACCCATTCGAAGGCGTTTATAACCAACCCTTTTATGAACGCCTCTGCTTAGATCCGAGAATGGAGAAGGAAAGATCTACGCATTTTCACTGGACTGATGACAGGACACTACCACCGCCACATGAGAAGGATAGGACGAGTCTGCAGAGCATATTTTATGTACCTGCTCCACTCTGGAAAGAACCAGGTTCCAGATCTTCGGATTTACCCGACTGGAGCCTACCGACTTTAATGAAGTCTCATCCAATTCAACCAAGACCTTTATCAAAAGGTGTGGCCTGTACGGTGAACTATAAGTTAGTCATGAGCTACAATAGACCCATCTGGGTCGCAGTGGAAGGCGATGATATCATCCCACTCATTTTCAACCTAACCTAACCTATGGGCGATCAAAAAGGTCGATTTGCTGTTTTTAGCTAGTTTAAGTGACTTCCGACAAGTAACTTATCTTCTAGATCAATTTTTTTCGAGTTCTTCAAACAGATGCTGAAGTTTTATTCGGCATTTGTGGTATTTCTTTTTAGTTGACTCATCGTTCAATACAATATTATACTCAACATACTCGTATATCTATATCTAATATGGTTTCTGAGATAGTACCTATGCAATGAGATTATGATTTAAATACAAATCAGTATTTCTATGATAATTGCATGATATACATATAAATTTATATCTTACCTTAGATTTTAATAATGGTTTAATAAAAGCAACAAACGAAACCAATGACGATTCAAACCGAAATTATGAAATTCTATAAATTCTATATTAAGATATTTTTCATATAAAATAATTACGGCAAGGTTAGCTTTATACTAATTAGGTACTTGTTTTGTAGTTCACAAATACCTATATCTACTAATTTAGGAAGTGCAGTAATATTTTGATGTAGCTATAAATAAAATGGTATATATTTATATACACACACAACCAAACTTATACGGAATCATCTATTATTTTTCAAAATTTTTAAGAAATATGAAAATTTTTTGTTTATGAATAAAACTGAGTCCTTACCAAAGACTTTTATTGAAAAATAACCCACATAGCAATAAAAAAAATTAATTAGTTGACAAAATAACCACAACGGTATTTTTTGTTTGTTTCTGAAACGAAATGAGATTTAAATTTTTAATGGCCAAAAAATAATTGGTAATTTTAATAAAACGTGTTGTCACCTCCAGTCTATTTCCCTAATCTCTGCTCCAGCTCTTATTAGCTGGTTAAATTTGATTTGTAAGTATTGTTTATAAGGTTTTCATTCAAATAAATTGAGATTGGTGGGTTTCAATTTATTTGAATTATAAACAATATTTACAAA